ATTTTTCTTGTTATTTTGCCTGTATATGTAATCGAGCTGAAGGTACTGGGTTTTTTCTCTGGTGGTGGAAATACTAATTTCAGGGCTTTCTTGTTTGTTTTCGATTTAACATTTTATTAATTGTTTGTTCGTTGTATCCGTTGTTTACTGCTATTTGCTTAATTATATTTAATTCTGTCTCAAAGCTGTATTTTGATATCGGAATTTCTGTTAATCTCTGTAACATACTAATCACTTGAGAAAGGCAATCAGCCGAAACAGCTGTAGTGATAAGTTTTTAAAATAAATTTTGTGGAAGTTTGAAAACAAAGTTTTCAGTGTTTTATTGTACAATAAAATTAATTTCCATCAAGTAACGGTCGAATCCATCAATTATTCAAATCGAATAGATTATTTTTATACCAATTTGTGGGTTTTTACTTTGTCTGCTTCATCAATTTTATTCATATTAATAAACAAGTTATGTAATATTGGCATAATTACTGTAATTGTTATCTTTATAAGACAGCACCCTAATGTGGGCTTTTGTAATTTCAGCGTTTAATTTACTTAATTATTTACGTTAGACCTGAAGATGCTTAGCAAAGTGTAGTAAGCGAAACCGGTCATTTTGGTCGTAAAATCAAGCTGATTGTGAGTAAGTCTTATTTTATTTCTTTTTACCGATTTGAAATAGACTCATAAGGCAACACATTCATTGTTTAAAAAGATTTGATTTTAGTTTCGCCATGTAGGCGAATCTTAGAATTCCCAGTTTTTTTTAAATTTTTAAATAATACTGTTGTTCAATAGACCTTAAAAATATAACCTAGACATTTAGCAAATAAAATAAAATGAATTATTACTTAACTAAGTTTACCTTCAGTTATGAAAAATTCCCGAAATTCCGACTGAAAATTTTTATCAAAAATGAGCTGTTAGCTTATTTATACAGCGTTTTCGTTTTTTTAGTACTAACTGTCCTTAAATTTTGATTTACAGGCATGCAAATTGGCCGATTTCATCCTTGAGTGTCCTAGTTGTCACTCTCATGCTATCAGCCTCTTTGTTTCATCTAGCAGCGCATTTTTATAATTCCCTTATTCCTATTTGTCCTATTGACACCCATTTAGGGTGCACATTTCCACATTTTTTTTAAATATTGAAGTCCAATTTGTTATATAATCTGGATTTTATTTGTAGTTTATTCTCTCCATGTATATTTCAGTTAATGCATTGCTAAGATACCTTATGTATCGGTTCCTTTGATTCGTTCATGACTAATAATTATATTAATAAATCAATAACAAACATTAAACTGTGTAATTCCTACAGTTAAAGCTAAAATACAGTTTTACCATTTCTCAATTATCCAATCTATCATCTGTATAATTTTTACATGTTTAAAGTTTCTTCTTTTGATTGGTCAAACAACTTGATATAATTGAAGCTATCAAACAAGCATCTTGTTATTACCTCACGTTTTTCTGTGATACGTGGACAGCTATTTTCACGGTAAGTAGTGTGAGTTAAATTCAAAATTACAGTATTGATTTATAATAATTATAGAGACTTAGAAATGAAGTAAGTGAAGCAAACGGCGATGTGTTATTGGATAATGCTTTCCAACGGTGCATGTACAATTTATTGTATTTTTATATATAAAATGAATGATATAATACAGTTCGATAATACTTTTTATTATGTATATACATTAAATTATGTACGTGAGATATATATGTCAGAATAATACAAAAATAATAAAAGGACAATAAAATTTCAAAACTTCAAACAATTTTCTTAAGAAAGCTCCCATTGTTGCGATCAAATATGTAAGTGACAGCAAAGACGCCAGTCTCACTCTTCATTTTCTTCGAATCCTTCTAGCACAAAATATTGTCCAGTTTTATGGTCGGCTGATGGTAGTAGACGTATTTTAGTAATTGTTGATAGAAGATCTGTTTTGATTGATTTTTTTCAATCAAAAGAGAACATTGGGCTAAATTTCACCAGCAACATGGACTACCACCTACAAGGTGCCCAAAAGAAAGTATGGAAAATGCTTCGGAACAGGAAAAAAACAGTTAACGAGTTCGTGCAGACCAAGGGAGTACCTATAGAGACATGGCAACATGCATTTTAAAAAGCTATATGATGCTGACAGAAACGCTGAATATAAACGAATACGAAGCAGATATGTGAGTGCTACAATCAATGACGAAGAAGTAGAAGCAAAGATCAAAAAGCTAAAAAACAGAAAAATCACCTGGAACGGATGAGTATACCCAATGAACTTTTAAAATATGGAGGCCTGAACTTGCAAGTTAACTGTCACAACTATTTAACAAAATATTAAACAAACAGAAACACCAGAGGAATGGCATAAGAGCATCACAATCCCCATTTTAAAAAAAAGGACAAAAAATTTACCCACAAAACTACAGAGGAATAACCCTCTTAAATACAACGATGAAACTTTTCACGAGTATTCTTAAGGACAAATTGGAAAGGCAAATCACTAATGCTTAAAGAACAACAAGGTTTTACAAGAGTGCGGTCTATAACAGATGCAGTATTCATAATAAAACAAATAAAAGAAAAAGCTATAGAGTTCGGCATGCCAGCGTATATTTGCTTCATTGATCTGACGAAGGCGTTTGACAGGGTTCGCCTGGGAGACATTCTAAATATATTAATAGAAAATAAAACACCGACCAACATAACAAAGATAGTCCATAACCTAAATAACAAGAATGTAACCAAAGTTAGAACAGGAGATCAAATCACTGAAAATATTCCAAAAAGATGTTAAATCTTTATAAATGGGTATATTTAAAAAAACCCTTAAAAGAGGTACATCAAATAACACAACCGTTTTCGAATAATAATTCCATCATCAGGTTAAAAATGCAGGTTAATATGACTGAGCCACCTAAAATATTAGGTTAAAAACCCTTTAAAATACATAAGGTTAACAAAGATTGTACATATTGTTGTTATTAATATTTGCTGTTAAATATTTAATTAAATTTTACTTTAGGTAACATACACCCATGCCTTAAGTGAGTTCCAGCGTCCGGAGAGTAAACCTCTTCAAACAGACTTCAGCTGGTAACTAGCAGAGTTACTATCAGAGCCAATACATATGTATTCAGTTTCCTTGATATTGACTTCTAGCCCACATAGTTCGTTTTCTTCGATAAGTTTACAGGTCATATATTCGAGGTCTTTATAGTCTTGAACCATCACTATTTGGTCGTCTGTAAAACTCACTGTGTACAATATTGCGTCGTTTAGATAAATTCCCATGTTTCTGCTTTTTTTTCCACGTCTTCTTCGCTTGCTCCGAGTAGATCTTAAACAAAGAAGGAGACACGCAGCATCATTGTTTGAGTCCTTTGTTGATAGTGAAACCCTTGGATACCTCCTGACCTTTCTTTATTTTACTTGTGTTATTCTTGTAGAGGTCTTGAACAGTCTTGATTAAAGTTACACTAATATTTGTTTTGTCGAGAGCTTCCCAGAGTTTTTGTTGTGGCACACTATTATAAGCTTTTTTAAGGTCCACGTAGAGGAAATGTATTGGTTGATTTCGTGCTACTTTTTTTTCGATCAGCTGGGTAACAGTTAACAGATAGTCAATAGTTGATCTACCTGCTCTAAAGCCGGCTTATTCTTCGGCCTCCATATCACAGAATTAATCTGCCATTCTCCTTTTAACCGTAAACTCTCGAGATGATGCTAAGGACTGCGAATCCTCGATAATCGTCACATATATCTTACTTTCCCTTCTTATGTATTGTGATAAAAGATATCCTAAACTCCTCCGGTATACTCTCTCCGTTAATACATGTTTGGTATAGACTGGCTAGCTACTTATATAATTTGCTTCTACCGTACTTGGGTAGCTCAGGTGGGATATTGCCAGGGCATGGTGGTTTTCTATTTTTTAATGCTTGGCATACTCGTGCTACTTCTTTACCATCAATACTAATTATTGGGAAAGCTATTGTATGTACTTGCACCTCTGATTATGTTTGAGGTGTTTGCAAATATTCTACCCTTTCTTCCGCCAGTAGATTTGCGAAGTATTCGTCCCACTGATCTAGGCTGATCGGTGAGATGATGTCTTTAGTCTCATCTTGTCGAAGAGATCGAAGTATTTTCCAGCTTTCGGAGCTTCTGCTACTCCCAAGTAAGTGTTTATTCTGGAGCAGTTTTTTTCCCAACTTTCGTTTTTCTTCTTAGTTATCGCACCTGGTACGTTTCTTTGGGCTGTTCGATATTTGTTTTTACTTCGATCAGTATTTATATTTAAGTGTTTGTGGTATTTATCTCCTTTAATCTTTATTTTTCTTCGATTTCTTCATCTCACCAATATGGCTTCCTTTGCTAGGTTTTTTCATATTTACCCAAGGCTTCTTCTCCTGCACTTTTAAGACATTGTTTTATGTAATTGTAATGGTTCTCAATACTATCAAAGTTTTCTTTAAGTAAGAGGTTTTCATCAAGTCACTTTTTGTACAGTGCCTTTCCCCTTAAATGGGTCGGACGATTTTTCACGCCATCAGGTACACAGATATCTCTCGTCCCTCGTGGGACGACCACATCACGCGTTCTACCTATAAATATATCTTGCGGTTCTCAGTTAATAGAACTATATCTCGTCTTCTTGCCCATTTCGCTCTCTTTATGTATTAAACGTACATACCCGACATAGCAAAGTAGTCACTTAAACTTAGTAATTTTCAAAACAAATTGTGAAATTAACTGTACTCAAATAAAATAAAAATACTTAAACTCACAATCTACTATTACCGTAACATCGAATTACATTTTTCCTCGACGAAGATTAATTAATCAGGGTCTTTTATAATCAACCACTTAGAATTTTGGTTCTCGTAATATATTGAGAAAAAAGGATATCAACAACAATACGGATATGTGCATTTTATAACTTGTCACATTTGTATTTATATAGTTTGGAATATCTATAAAAATAAATGTACTGCAATACTTACGTCGGTATTGAAAAATAATAAAGCAATAATTTGGCTATTTCGTATTTGTTCAGTCCAGCTCTTGAAATGCATTCAGCGTAGCAGAGAATAATTGGTCTCCCATCTACATCTGCTGTACCTGAAACAATTAAAAATTTGTAAGTTATTTTTTTTATTGAGTTTAATGCGTCGACAACTAATGGTCATTGGCATGGTACAGTGAATTTTTACAGTCAGTCAGGTGTAGAGTATAGTGTGTGTGTAGAGTAATTGTCTTGATACTTAGCAAAGTCGACGTCATTGTCTTTGCTAAGAGACGCTAATTGTATCCGAACGTCTGCGGTCCCTCTGGTGAGTACCGATCGCACAAGGATAGAAATTATTTTTTATTCATTAATTTTTATTAAACGAAAATTTCTCCACCCAGGTGAGATTCGAACTCACGACCTTTAGGTTCAAAGGCAGGCGCTCTTACCACTGAGCCACAGAGGGGGTTAAGTAAGTTATTTTAAAAGTTACAAAACAAAAAATAAGTCAATAAAGCTAAGTTATTTTTTGATATTTTTTCTTGAATAGGATTACTACTGTATATAAGTAATAATATACATATGGCAAAGTAATGTTAAATATAAACTTAATTTGTAATGTTATAACGTCACATGCTTGATATTTTTCTTTAAATAATTAATAATTAATGTATTGTAACTGAATGTTTTATACTATTTTTATTCTAATATATTATTAATTAAATTTTCTCTTTTATATAATTGATGGATTCGACCGTTACTTGATGGAAATTCATTTTATGTAACAATAAAACACTGAAAACTTTGTTTTCAAACTTCCACAAAATTTATTTTAAATATTATCACTACAGCTGTTTCGGCTGATTGCCTTTCTCAAGTGATCTATTTTTGGCTTGGGTTTACAAATTTATAGTCTCTAATGAAATAGGTTGAGGAGGGGAGAACTGTTTGTCTCAAGTTGGTCATTCAGAATTATATCTGTGTTTTTTAATTTGTTGATTTCCATAGATTCTAACAAAGATAGTTTAAGGCCTTTATTTTGAATGTGAAGAATTTTAAATTTGTCATGCACTGTATATTTGTATATATTTGTAACTATATTTGTAAATATATACAAATAACAGTGCAGGACTTATAATGGGTAATCCTCTAAGCCCATTGTTATCAGATATTTTTATGGATCATCTAGAGACAAAGATTTCAAAACATCCCGTATTCAAACAGTTTTTATATTGGTGGAGATACGTAGACGACGTACTGGTATGTTTCACAGGAACTAACAGGCAACTCATATTTATCATAGATTAATTCATTCATAGTCATATTCAATTTACAATAGAAACAGAACAAAATCAATCCATAAATTTTTTAGATTTAAAAATTAGCAGACTTCAAAACAAACATGACTTCTCCATATTTCATAAACCTACCCATACTGACACAACTATACACAATTCGTCATCCCATCCAACACAACATAAACTGGCAGCTTATCATAGTATGTTACATAGATTAACAGAAATTCCGATGTCAAAAGACAACTTTGAGACAGAATTAAATATAATTAAACAAATAGCAGTAAACAACGGATACAACGAACAAACAATTAATAAAATGTTAAATCAAAAACTACACAAGAAAGCCCTGAAATTAGTATTTCCACCACCAGAGAAAAAACCCAGTACCTTCTGCTCGATTACATATACAGGCAAAATAACAACAAAAATTGCCAAACACATAAAAAAGAAAGGAATAACACCAGCTTTCCGAACAAATAACAACCTAGGCAAATATATTAAAAATAACAAGAGCCAAAATAAAAAAACACTTAAATAGTGGTGTATACAAACTCCAATGTGGCGACTGCCCAAAAACTTACATCGGTCAAACTGGTAGATAAACTTTGATAAACGAATAGCAGAACATAAAAGGGCTTTCAAGAATAGAAAAACAGATTCGACATATGCACTTCACCTTCTAGATCATAATCATTCTTTTAATGACAAATTTAAAATTCTTCACATTCAAAATAAAGGCCTTAAGCTATCTTTGTTAGAATCTATGGAAATCAACAAATTAAAAAACACAGATATAATTCTGAATGACCAACTTGAGACAAACAGTTCTCCCCTCCTCAACCTATTTCATTAGAGACTATAAATTTGTAAACCCAAGCCAAATAGATCACTTGAGAAAGGCAATCAGCCGAAACAGCTGTAGTGATAATAGTTAAAATAAATTTTGTGGAAGTTTGAAAACAAAGTTTTCAGTGTTTTATTGTTACATTTCTCTTTTATATTTATTCTTTAATCTAAAGTTTAATTTATTTCTGTTCTTAAATCTTCATTGGGTTTTTTGGCTTGAATTGAAATTTTTCTTGTTTTTTACCTGAAACTACTTCAGCTTACATCCACACATTCAGCTTTCATCCAAACATTTAGCTACATTCAACAACCAAACTGGAACTACATTCAACTGCAACTTTAGCAGTTGAGCAGTTTAGCAGCACCCAGACAAAAAATTATAAACAATGCCAATAACTATGTTTTTACATTTTATTTTTGTACAGCTTTAGGTAAGATTTGCTGTGAAATTGTTTTATGTATTGATTATTTAATGTAATCTTTTATTTGTCCCTAACAAACTTATTTTTTCAGATTTACATTTAAGATAAGTCGTATCTACACCTGAAAGACAGAGCTAGTCGAAACCTAAAACAATTAGCACCCAATGTTACAGCTAGTGATCCAACTATTATATGTTACACATTGGCGCCCAACGTGGGGCTGAGGCTATCACCGTACTACTTATCCATTGGACGGTTTGATTTACGCCTTATATCTTCAAACGAAAATATTCTGTTCTATCGGTGCTGTAACATTGCATGGAATTAAAAACACTAAGAACAAATCTCGTAAGAAAAAATAATTTTGTGAATTTTGTATGTATCACAGGACATTAAGAATTGCAAAGACGGGAAGCATTACGAATGCCAAATTGTTAAGACGAACGAAAAATAAGATGAAGTTGTACTGTTTATGTAAAACACAGAAACTGTTATTGTGAGGAGCAGTTGTGAGAGCAGACAAATAATAATTAATTCAACTTATAATAGAAAGAAATATTTTCTAACTCTATTAATCGATAATATGTGAGGACAATAAGCATTTTTGATAAAAAAATATAGGTTGTATAGGGTGTTCCACTAAGTACTGTCTTTTATTATTATGTAGCTATTGCTGACATTGTGGGTTTTCTCAACTATATACATAAAATATATATAATAGTATTATGTATAGGCATAAAATATACACGGTAGCAAAATTTTGGGAAACACGTCAATTTTTCTGGAACCTATAAATAAATATTTATGAAATTCTACGATTATGAATAACATGGTATTCTGCATTTTCTAGAGAACATTTCAAATTTATGTGACGTCTATAGCAGTGATTGTTTTTAAGGCAGTTTCGTGTTTTCTCTTTACTTCTTCAAAACTATTTCTTGAGCACATATTGCAAGATCGTCAGCATAAAAATGTGATGATACCTGGCTTAATTTTTTTCTCAACTGTTTGCGTTTTATGTAAAAATGTTTTAGTAAAAAATCTATAAAAGGTAGATTCCTATTTTTTAGTTGTACTATTTTACATATTCGGCTTGGGGTTAATTGTTGTTTAATAAGATGTTAATGTTTAATAAGATGTTTAATAAATGTTGTTTAATAGGGAATGAATAACTGTATGTTATATCTGTGGATTTTACTTTATTCGCTTCCATACGCCATTTTGAATAAATTGTCAAACTAGTAGCAAATATATTTCTAGATGTAGATTCGTACGACTTCTTAATTACACATTTACTTCTACTTAAAACTTAGTCGGTAGATTTACGCTACGTGCGGATGTTCAATTCCTTTTTCGCGAAATCTCAGCCAGCACGTTTTCGATTTTCGTATTGCTAACGAGAAGATTAACCCATTTCCGTAAGTAATTAAGAGCAGAAGACTAACGAAACTTGCAATCGGCGTACCTAAAACGTTAGGCCAGGAAAAATCAGTTCAAGTCAGAATAGAGAAGTCGAAATATATTATGAATTAAAGAAAAACCCTTGGTAAGAAATAATTAAAAATTAAAATTGCCATTAGGCAAATAATGTATTCTAAGCGTATAAATGTATTAGTTGGTAATAATTGAAGTGCAAAACCGATTGATATAGTTCCTACCTGGAGTATTAAAAAGATGTTGAAAAAAATAAACAATTTTTTGTTTTAGTGTTAACAACTCTGTCTTGGATGTTTAAAAGCGCACCAATCACGAATATTTTAGAAATCGAAGCAGCAGAGCCTCCTTTGCACCTGAGAAAATACAAAAGCTCAATTCAAAAATAGATAGTTCTTTCTGGCGACGTAAAAATGATTCCAAAGTAATAAGCAGTTATCAGCGACTAATACAATGATCTAATATAATGATCCAATGAACTAATCCAACTTTTGACTAATTAAACTCCAGAAGACAACGTCCACCCTGGACAATAGGTAGCTCGAGGACCATTGTTGTTATCATATTGGTATTCAGTGGCCTCGAAAACCATCGAGTAATGACTGTCGACCGATTTAGAATAAAATTAACATATTCCAGGAGACGAGGTTTATCCTAGGCACCAGATAGCTCAAGGATCAACTTCGTTATCATATTCGTATTCAGCGACCTAGAAAACCATCGAGTAACAAAATTGAACTGCTGTCGATATTTTTTTAGTTGCAAATTTTTCATTTTCGATGTACTTTGCAAATGAATTTTTCTTATACACAAAATGCAATTTTCACTTAAACACCATGAATTTTGTTCACAAACTTTCCCTATACACTCTCGAATCAAATGCAAAAAATTGCACAGCAATTCATCTAGCTGCGACAAACATTGGTAGCTTAGTGTTTTCTAGTTTAGTTTATTTCTTCTCATCTCAGCTAAAACTAGGAAATTGGTAACTATGACAATGATAATTTTAATAAAATTTTGAGCTGGGCAATTGGTTTTAACCAAGATCATAAATCTAAACACACATCTCACAGAATAACTCCAATACATCAGTATTGAATTCAATGACTTTTA